AAGTCATGCTGATTTGATTTAGAGTTGCTTGTGTGTATATGATTCCAGAGCTGAGCACTTGACATTGGACAAATACTTTTGGGACTCATGCCTGGTGAAGACTGGTTTTCATTCTCTCAGCAGTCATTATTGCCTGTAGTTCTTCTTCTAGGGGAAGGCCTCTAAGAGATTTCTCCCTTTGATTGTGGCTTGTCAGCTGATATCATTGGTCAAGCCTTATACAACAGTCATATTGCAGTTTCTCTGTCTCATCTAGAAGATATACTCTCTGAGTAGATTTTCTGTCATCTGACAATTACAGTATTTCTGTCTCTCTTCTTCAGTGTTCCCTGATATTTCTTTGTATATGTTTTCTTCTCTAGATAGCCTTTAAACCTCACTATACTTAGAGAAAGTGGGGTGGTAACATCATCTGCTATTATTAAGTTGGTGTTAATCTGTGTCTTTAATTCTGATCCTATAGTTGCTATGAAGTAGTGTGCACTAGAGTTTGATGCCTAGATGTTTAGGATTCTGTTTTATTGGTTAACTGGTCCCTTGATTACAATGAATAGAAAAATTCTAATTTATTTGAGTTTTAACTATCTCTTTGATTCATTCTAGTTTGAAGTCTATTTTGTCAAATATTAGGATGGCAATGCATGCTTGCTTTCTGGTCCCATTTGTTGGGAATATTTTTTCTATGTTTTTACTTTAGAGTAGTTTCTTTCCTTAAAACTACAATTGTTTTCTTGTAACTAACAGAAATATGGATTTTGTTTTTTTAAATTCAGCCTCTGTCTTTTAATTTGACAGTCAAGTCCATTAATACTTACAGTTATTGTTTAAAGGTGTGTGTTGATTGCAGTCTTTTTGTTGTTGTTGTTGTCTGTGTTCTTATTCTTGGTTTGTGTTTTAGTAATTATACCTTCATTTTTTTTCTTTCTGCAGTCTCTTAGCTATGATTATTCCTGTCTTCATTCTGAAGCATTTCTTCCAATATTTTTTTCAGGTCTGCTTTTGTATGTATGAATTCTGTTAGCATGTTTGTATCACAGAAACTTTTTTCTTTATATCTCATATATGGCTAATAAATTCAGTGGGTACAGATATACAGTTTTGTTTCTGTGGTTTTTTAGAACTTGGATACATTGCTCCAAGCTCTTCTTGTTTTCAGACTTTTCATTGAGAAATAATATATTATTATGATGGGTTTTCTTTTATTTATTTTTTTCTCTTGCAACTTTCAATATCCTTCCTTATGTACATTTTAATGTTTTAACTGTTGCATGCTCTGAGGAATTTCTTCTCTGGTCTTGTCTATTTGGTATTCTGTGTGTTTCTTGTGTCTTTCTGGGTAGGTCTTTCTTTAGTTTGGGACTGTATCCTTCTGTGATCACGCTAAGTTCTGGTTATGACACTCACCTGGAACCTGCCTCCTTTATCCATGCCTTAGTGCCAAGATTTGATCTTTTCATGCTTTCTCACAATTAATGCCTGTTCCCTTCCTATCTTTTAAAATGGTTTTCACATTCTTTTCTTTTGTTGTCTAATTTTTTATTTTTGGTTTTGATATTACATCTTTCGCTTGATCAGTTCTACTTGTGAGCCTTTCCTCTGAGTTTTCTACCTGGGTTCTCGAGCTTTGAAAGTGTTTTGTTTTCTTTCTAATTCCATCTCCATTTCCGCTTACGTGCTCCTCAATATTTCTATCTTTTTTATTAGATTTGTATCTCACATTCATATTGGCTATATCATTTCTCTCACATTTGCTTTTTCTTGAATACGAGACAGGCACTTGTTCTCTATGTTCACTAAACTGTGTCCTTTTTAAAAAACTCCTTGAATTCTTCGATGAAGTTTATGTTGTTCTTTTTAGGTTCTGTACCTCATTGCCCATCTGAGTAATTCTCATTGAAGAATCTTTTACAGGACAGGTGTATCTTGGGGTGTATATACTGTCTTCATCTTTCATGTTGTTTCTACAAGAAGACAAGGGCATGCGGACTTCTTTGGTTGGCTATGTTTCTGACGTGGACAAGGCATGCTGTGAGACTGGACTCTAGTATGGCATGTGTGTACTCAGCTTAGACTGGAGAATGGATCTATCCCAGTCCACACGGGGTGACCAGAGTTAGGAAGGGTCATGCCAAAGCATGCAGAAAGGTTACCCGTGTCTCCTTATCACATGGACCAGCAGAAGATCCTTAGTGGAAAGGAGCCTGTTATAGGGCCAGTCCCAAAGAGAAGAGTGGCTGGGGGTGGGGTGCCAGGATCCCTGGAAGGCAGCTGCAGGGTGATGTGATTTGGGAACTGGAATTAAATTGTTACAGGCTCACTTTGACCCCCCCACCCCTTTGGAGAGAAGATTGTTGGGAGCGGGGAGGGGATGTGGGGTGGAGTGGGTGGGTGGGTGAAATAGTAGTTTGAGGATACTATAATTTCCCATGGTGACTTGGCTAGAATGGTTATAATTGAGAGATGAGAAATGGTTGTATTCTGCATTGACTTGGCAGCAGAGAGGTGAGAGTTAGGATTCTAGTTTGAATGCTATAGGAAACACAAGTCAAGAGCAACTCCAAGTATTTGTCTTTGCAAAGGAAAAGAATGGATATTGTTTTGAAGGGGCTCCTGAATACGAACTTGATGACATCCACGCCTTGCCTCTCATCAGATAATTTTAGTCTTGTTTCCTCCTTTATCCTTGTCGCTTTGCAACATCATGGGTGAACTTGTAGGATATTATAGCAGAAACTTAAGCCGAACATAAAAAGACAACTACTACCTACCTCACTTACATGTGAAATCAAAGAAAGCTGGACTCCTAGAAACAGCATAGAATGGTGGTTGCGAGGAACGAGAAGTGTTCACATTTAGATAAACACGGTCTGGAAACCTGTTGTTCTGTAATGTACCTACCATAACAATAATGCTTTATATACATGACCTTGACGAAGAATGCAGGGTTTTGTTTTCTTCCACTTTCCTGTTTGCTTATTTTCTTGCTTAGTTTGAGCATGCTCTAGATCTATACAGCTCCAGCCCTGCAAGCATAATTTGCAAAAAACACCACCAACAAAAGCCCTGTGTGAGGTAATTTAATCATCAACTGTGGCATTTATTAGAGTGTATATGGATATTAGAATATTACTTCAACATTTCAAATATATATGTTTCTTTTGTCAATTATACTTCAATAAAACTGTAAAAGAAGTGTGGAACTAAGGTGATAATTTTTTTTACTATTTTGGTAATTGGTGTGCAATTCTTAAATGTTCTTTATTTTTGTAGATGGCCAAGTGTTTTCATGGGGAAGTAACAGTCATGGTCAGCTGGGCCTGGGGAAGAACTGCAGTTCCCAAGCCAGCCCCGAGAGGGTGAAGTCCCTAAAGGGAATCCCACTGGCTCAGGTGGCTGCAGGTGGCAATCACAGTTTTGCTCTGTCTCTCACGGGGACTTCATTTGGCTGGGGAAGCAACAGTGTTGGGCAGCTGGCCCTCAGTGGGGAAAAAGCCAAAGGTAAGGAAATAGTTCTTTCTCTGTAGCTGAAAGACTAGCCTGCTCAATGGCACATCACAGTGGTTTCCAAACCCTGCCACGTTAGCATCGCCTGGGAAACTGTATCAGTGTCCTATTGCTTTAGGAATAACACCACAGAACTTTTATCTATACAAAACAATGCACTTTTTATGTAGCCAGTAGTCTGTTACCCGGTCTCAGGCAGCAGGGTTGCCTTGCTCCCTGAAGGTTCTGGGTGAGAATCCACTCTGTTGTCTTTCCTAGCTTCTATAGAACTCTAACATGAATAGGATATTCCCTGTGTCTTCAAAGTCTGCGGTGGCAGATTACGTCTGTTTTAAGTCATGCCATTGTGACACTGATTCTTTTGCATTCATTCTCTCAGTTAGAGGAATACCATTGACCCACCTGGATCATCCAGGCTAATCTCGCTACTTTATGGTCAACTGATTAGCATTTTAATTAACTGATTTCCTTATTGTTTCTTTGCCAGGTAACTTATATTTGCAAAGCTCTGGGCTTGGGATGGAAACCATTTGTCTACCTTTAAAGCTCTTGATGCCCAGGTTGAGCTCCACGCCCATTAGGTCAGAATGTCTGTGAGTGACAGTCAGGCTTCAGCCATTCTGGGCTTGGGAATCACTGATCATATAACAGGAAATGACTAGTTCCTGTGTTAAGAAAAAAAAGTCTCTGAGCACCCGTCGCTCTAAAATCCAATTCATTAAGAAGTCTTCTCAAAGAACTCCATACTCCTCCATTATCTCTTTGAACCTGGCCAATCTATATCAGCACCTACTATAGGCCAGTACTTTGGAGATCACTTGCATCCCATCTAACTCTCTTAAGATAAGTTCTTGTATTCTTTGTGTCACTAACATATGTTCTGACACCTACTATATATCAGAAATGAATACAAATTACGAAAACATATTGGGAGCCTTGGTATGTTTGAAGTTAATTGCTTGATATTTTCTAGAAAGTTAAGGGTTTCCAGAAATAAGTATTAAAGTATGGATTTTCCCCCTCAAATCATGTTTTAATACTTCTGAATTTTTCACTTTTAAGATCCTGTTGAGCTATAAGACAGAGATGTGGATACTACAAAAGTTATAGAATTATAAAAAATTCTGAGCTACCATACCACACACACACACCAGAGTCTCACTTTGTAACCCACGCTGGTCTCTCAGTCTTTCTCTTATATTCTAGAAAGTCTGCTTTCTTTCAGCAGTGAAAATCCACAAGCCTAATTCAATTGGTGCCCTGAAGAGTTTGGGTGTGGTTTATATCAGCTGTGGTTATGAGCACACTGCAGTGCTTACTCAGGTAATTCAAACGTGCTTCTGTTTAGACGTTGGAGAAACGGTAAAATGATATGTGTCCTGTCTAATGTGAAAAACAAGCGAACTGAGTCTGTACAGGTTACTGTAACAAAGCCCTGACAATTGGGATGCACACACTTCTCAGAGCTCTGGAAGCCAGGGAGGCCAAGATCAAGGCGCCAGCAGACTTATATATGATGATGGGTACCCAGCAGACTTACATATGATGATGGGTACCCTTCTGATTCCTAGGAGTCAGTTGATGTGTTCTCATGCGGTGGAAGGGGTCAGAGTATCTTCTCTTGAGTCTTCTTTTATAAAGAGAATAATTCCATCAGTGAAGGATTTACCCTCATGGCTGAATCAGCTACCAAAGGCCCTAGTCCACCTCCTAATAGCACTATAATAAAATTTAGATTTTGTTTTAAAGATTTATTTTGTGGGTATGAATGTTTTGTCTGCCTGTATGTCTGAGCATCACACGCACACATAGTGTTCATGGAGGCCAGAAGAGGGGGCCAGAGTCCCTGGAACTGACGTTACAGACAGTTGGACTTTTTGTGGGTGCTGGGAACAGACCTTATGTCTTCTGCTGGGACACAAGTCCTAACTGCTGAGTCATTCTCTCCAGTTTGTGGAAATTAGGATTTTAAATTTATAAATTTAAAAACGCAAATGTTCAAATATGACATAAGATGGATTTCAATATCAAAAAATACCTACTTAATGTGCAAATGTCTAAAGTAGAAAACTGACCATAAATCAGGAAATTTCTCAAGATACCATAGTAGAAGCAAATGTAGGAGCCATTTTAGAACATTTGTCACTGTCAGTGCAGGTGCACAGAAAAATTTATTGTATCGTTTTCAATAATCCACTCAACAGACAAGAACACACTTCATCACATTCCTTGCTTGATACAACAAGCCAGTTTGGTTAGTGTTTTCTTCTGCCTCTTACCCCGGCTGTCCAGTGTATTCTAATTGGACAGAGAGGTCTCGCCATCATAAAGAACAGGCTTGAAAATGATTTCTATAACTTAAACGCTTGTTTAAAGACTGCATTCTGCAGGACCAGGTAGTGTATCAGTGGTAGAATCCTTGACTTTTTGGAGCTGATTTTCAATGCCAGAAAAAAAGTTTATATGCCTAATGATTTTTAAATAGTAGTATTCCTACTAATGACTATGACTTCAATAGATAAAATGAGGACCATAGGAATTAAGATAAGTGCTCTACCACTTAGCTATATTCCTAGTCCACCAAATTATTTTATTATTTTTATTACTTGTTTTAAAACCATGACTTCAATTGTTTGAATTATATTAATCTTAGTTGACAAGAGAAATCTAGAAGTGTGTGTGTGTGTGTGTGTGTGTGTGTGTAAATGAGTGAAAATGCAAGAGGATTCAGATTCTCTGGAGCTAGAGTTCCAGGAGGTGGTGAGCTGTCTGACATGGGGCTAGGAATCAATCTCTGACCTCCGCAGTACATGATCCTAAGTGCTAAGCCATCTTTCTAGCCTCTCTCTTAGCAATTTTAAATGTATAATATATTTTTAACGTTTGTGCATAATTTTAAAGGAAATTTCATAGATAAATTTTTAAATAACTTTTGGAATAATAAGATGGATAATTTTGGAATAAGTTTCTGGAAATTTTTAAATGAATATAGATAATTTTGGAATAAATTTATAGAAGTTTATAAATCAACTTATAAAATATACAAATCAATTTCACATATTGTTTTCATCTTGTGATAGTTATATTTTAAAACATGAAATTAATCTGATTCCTTATTTTTAAACAGGATGGGAAAGTGTTTACATTTGGAGACAATAGCTCTGGGCAGCTTCAGCACAGTCCCCAAAGTGAGAGAAGAGGCCCACAACTCGTGGAAGGACTTGGTGGCCCTGTTTCGATGATAAAGTGTGGAAGGTATTAAGCTTTTTAAAAGTGTTTTAATAGAAAGTATTAAGCTTATTACTTAGAAAACAAAAACAAGCTGGACAACGTTGGCACGCACCTTTAATCCCAACACTCGGGAGACAGTGGGTTCAAGGCCAGCTTGATTACAGAGTCAGCTCCAGGACAGCTAAGGCTGTTACACACAGAAACACTGTCTCAAAATATCAAAAAAGTAAGAAAAAAGAAAGAAAGAAAGAAAGAAAGAAAGAAAGAAAGAAAGAAGGGAAGGAAGGGAGGAAGGAAGAATGAAAGGAAGAAACCCAAAATATGTGGCTATTTATTTATGTTTTTCAAGACAGGGTTTCTCTGTAGCTTTTGAAGCCTGTCCTGGAACTCGCTCTGTAGACCAAGCTGGCTTTAAACTCTCAAAGATCTGCCTGCCTCTGCCTCCTGAGTGCTGGGATTAAAGGTGTGCACCACTGCCAACCGGCATTTTTTTAAAAAAAATTGCTTTTTTAAATATATTTTAATTTAAAATTTCCATTTATGCTAATACTTTTGTAACAAATAAGCATTAGAAGTTTAGTATATATAGACCACCTATGAGTAGAGGGTAGGAGAGAGTTAAATAGCAAAGGTGGTAGTGTTTGCCTGCTTAAGTTGATAAAACAAATTAATCTTATGCATGCAGAACATGGTGACTATTTGAAGATATTCACGGTTTTAGATAGCCTAATTATGAGGACAATTTGAGTATTTCTGTATCTATCTCAGTACATTAAAAATGCTTGAATTTAGAACACATGGAATAGAATATGGGACTTAGAGATAAATTTACACAGATACAGCTACCTACCTCTTTACTGGGAAAAAACAACAACAGTGTATTGAAAAAAATGGTTCTAGTAAAAGTGACTATCCACCTGAATAAAAATGAAATTAGATTTATTCCTCTCACCCTGCCCAAAAGTTAATTCAAAGTTAGTCTGGAAAGTAGCCCAGGGACTGAAGTGCTCTCTGCACAAGTGTGAGGACAGAGATCATATCCCCAGAACCCACGTAAAGGCCAGGGGCGGGTATGGCAGTCCACCTGTCATTCTAGCCCTGGCAGGCGAAGACAAGGTACCCCCCAGAGACTAGTCATCTCAGCAGTCTTTGCCTGGCCTCATAATAGATCCCCATCTTAATGAATAAGGAATAAATGTGATGGAGGGAGATTCCTGACATCAGCCTACAGCTCCCAGAAACACACACGTACATTTGCCCACACTCATGTGGGCATGCATACCTACATGCTTGCACACCATCCATGCACAGATACAGGAGACAGAAAAACGTTAACTCAAGTGGATTACAGACTTTAATTTGAAACCTGAACCCCTGGAGTGCTAGAGGGAGACAAGAGGAAAACCCTTCACGACTCAGGCATGGCAGAACTCTCTAAGCAGGACTCAATAGAACAGAAGCAGCTCCAAGAATTAACAAGTTGAATTGCATGGCATTTGGAAGCAAGGAGTCTACTGGCAGAGTGAAAAGACAGTCAACAGAATGAAAAAAATTTCTTGCCAGCTGCATCAGACAAAGGGCTAGGATCTAGAACATAGGGGGAAAAAAACCCAAACTGCTAAGAAACAGGCCATGAAATGAGCACATGGTTCTCTCCGTAGGCAGCACAAATGATCTGTAAACACGTGTACCATGTTTAGCCTTTGAGATTCCACCTCACCCGTGTCAGAATGGCTGTTACTAAGGACAAAAGCACAAGGAATCTTGGTGAGGATGGAAAAAAAATCTAGTGCTGGTGGGAGTTTAAACTGGTGCAGTCACCATGGAAATCAGCATGGAGGTTTCTCAAACACGTAAAAAGCAGAACTACCATTGGACCCAGCTGTGGCACTCTTGGGCACACACCCAGAGGAATCCATATCTTCCCATGAATACTTACATACTATTTGCAAAAGCAAGGAAATTGTATCAGCCTAGACATCCCTTGATAGATGATTGGTAACGGAAATGTGATACAAATATACAATAGAATTTTCTTCAGCTATCAAGAAAAACAGAGTGTGAAATTTTTAAGAAAGTGAATAGATCTGGAAATTACTATATTAAGGGGGGTGACTCAGACACAGACAAGAGCATGTGCTCTCTCAGGCAAATCTTAGCTTTTACTGTTTGTCTGTATGCATACATGTGGGTGAAAGCGTGATATGTCATGAAACTATAAAGGGGACCAAAAAAAGGGAGAAAAGACATATTGTGAAAGGAGAGCAATGGAGCACTTGTGACATGAGGTCAGAAAGGATGCTACAGGGGTGGGAGGGCAAGGGAGGAGGGACACAGAGAGATGTGAGCACACCTGGCAAAGAGAAGCAACAAAAGAAAACATCTGAGAGCATTATGATGTAGCCTAATATTTTACATGCTGTGTTTTTGTTTGTTTGTTGAGACAGGCTTTCTTATTTATTTATTTATTTATTTATTTATTTATTTATTTATTTATATTTACCAAAGGTTTCCACCTCCTCTGTTCCTCCCTCCTCCTTTCTCCCCCTCCCTCTCCAGTCCCAAGAGCAGACAGGGTTTCCTGCCCTGTGGGAAGTCCAAGGTCCTCTCCCATCCATCCAGGTCCAGGAAGGCGAGCATCCAAACAGACTAGTCTCCCACAAGACCAGTCCATGCAGTAGAATCAAAACCCAGTGCCATTGTCCTTGGCTTCTCCGTTGGCCCTCATTGTCAGCCGCATTCAGAGAGTCCAGCTTGATCACATGCTCCATCAATTCCAGTCCAGCTGGCCCTGGCGAGCTCCCATGAGATCAGTCCCACCTTCTCAGTGGGTGGATGCACCCCTCGCGGTCCCAACTTTCTTGCTCATGTTTTCCATCCCTCCGCTCCTCACTTGGACCTTGGGAACTCAGTCCAGTGCTCCAACGTGGGTCTCGAGACAGGCTTTCTCTGTAGCTTTGAAGTCTTTCCTGGAACTAGCTCTTGCAGACCAGGCTGGCCTTGAACTCATAGGCCTGCCTTTGCCTCCCAAGTACTGGAATTAAAGGTGTGTACCATCACCACCCAGTTTACATGCTAAATTTTAAAAATTAAGAATAAGTATTTAAATACATGATATGTAGCTAAGCTGGTAGAGTCTTTGCCGGTAGAGTAAGGGTCCAAGAAAATGAAGGAAGACCCCAGACTCAAATAGTATGCAAGAGCAGAAAGTGATTTATTCTGCAGAAACAGCCAGTGTATGTGGGGTCAGCCTCTTGTACAGAATGGCAACCATGAAGAAAGGCACACAGGTCCTCTTACGCAGTTAGGGGAGTTTCAGGGACAGTAGTCATCTCATACATAATTGGTTAAGCAAGCAGCAGTTACTCTAGTATACTTTTAATTGGCTGGGGTTTAGGTTTACCATTTTTAGACATACTTGCACGAGCTTGGGCAAGTCCAGACCTGACTCAGAAGGGGGCTGCTGGATTCGTCCTTGCGATATTGTGGCACTGAGTAAGGCCTTGTCTGTGCTCTTTCCCTCATCTCTGAATGCAAGGATGCTGTGGATAAATGGTCCCTTGCAGCTCTCAGAAACCAGAAACCTGAATTCAGTTGTGAGAGTGGAAGAATTTAACCCCTTTATTAGCACTCACCGAGCCCTAGAGTAGATTCCCCACAACCACACGTACTAGACGTGGCAGTGGTACCAGGTGTGGAGGTGGTGAGCTATGCCTCTAAGCCCAGCACTAGAGAGATAAAGGCAGAAGGATCAGAAAGTGAAGATTATCCTGTGCACCATGGAGAGATAGTAGCAAGCCTGGTCTACACGAGACTTGACTTCAAACAAAAACAAAAAGCCATATGATAGGAACTATAATAAATCCCCATCGCTAATACTACTAGTAAGTTAATGGCACCTGTAGTGATGTCACCTAGTCTGTTGCAACACTAGCGCTGTAATGAGACAGCTGGCTGCGTGGTGAAGGTAAATCTATCGTTTTGTTTTTCCTTGAACTCAGAAGTTCTGGTTCTTTGGAATATCATATCATTGTATTTGTACTTTATGTTGCAGCTATCACACCCTTGCATATGTCTACACCACTCGTCAGGTGGTATCTGTAGGCCGTGGACCAAGTCTCACAAGCAACCCAACCCACCAGGAGGCCCAAGCAGAGAACCCTGGTGTCACCTGCCTGCTCTCTGCAAAAGGTACGAGTGCTCCCACCAGCATGGCTGGTTAACTAAAGAAGACATGCCGTTCAGCCTTCTTCCACAAGATCCCACTGAACTATGCTTATGGTTCTTAGTTCTCTAATTTTAAACTGCCACTCCCCCCCCCCCCCCGGAGTAATGGGTAATCATTTCTAAAGACTTAACCAATACAAAAGAAGACGTCAAGTTGGCTACTTAAAAATCTTAACAACATCCTTTGATATATTTAAGCAAATGCCCAAGCATGTTAACCCCAACTCATTGTGAAAATGCCTAGAAACAAAAATGTTTATTGAGTGAGTAAGTAACATTTGATTTGGTCAAAATTAAATTTTTATGCTATTTGTAATAAAAAATTAGGAGAGTATAAATTTTCCGACAAATGAATAATTTGACTTAGTTATGTATAGATTAATTTTTTTCCAGGTAAAACTCTGAACATTTTTTTTTTTACCTTTTTAGACCTCATGAATATTCAAGTCAAAGACATTTTTGCTGGAGCATATGCCAACTTTGCTACAACTCATCGGATATCAGTAGGCGCTATTTCTTTTTAAACTTATTTTTTTTTCTCTAGATTTCAGGAGTTATTTCTTTTTCTGGTGCTAGGAAACCAAACCCAGAGCTTTGTATATGTTAGGCAAGCACTCTCCCCTGAGCTATACACACCTTTCCCTTCATTTCAGGCTAGGGTTGGAGACGGTAGATTTTTTATGCTTTCAGATTTCTCACTAGATTAATGTATGCCTCTGCTAGAATGGTTTTGAACGTTAGAAGTGTGGGAAACTTAACAAGACCTTGACTCAAATAATGAACAGAGGGCTGGGGATGTAGCTCCATGGGAGAATACGCGTCTAGCACGCAAAAGACCTGGATTTGACCCCAAAGTGGGGATGGTAGGCAATGGATGGAGGCAGTGGGGGTAAGATTTAGGACAAAAGAAGAGAGGAACAATGGGGCAGGGGAGATGCCTGGAACAGAGGGGAGAACGAAGCACAAAATTAGGCTGTGGGTGTTTAGAATGCAGAGGAGGAGTAAAGGAGACGCGAAAGCAAAGTTCCTGGCACGGGGTCTAGGAAGTGGCTTATCCAGGGAAACTAGGGTGCACAAAAGTCAAGTCAGAGGGTCACAGAAGGGAAGGGAAGAGGAGGGAGGGAAGGGAAGAGGAGGGAGGGAAGGAAAAAGGAGGGAGGGAAGGGAAAGAAAGGAAGATTGTATTGTTTTAACAGAGAGCAAGAAATCTGCCTGAGGTGTGGTCAGAGAAAGAGGAGGAGAGGAAGTCTGGTGACAACTGAGATGGTTTGACAGAAAGATAAATTAGAAGGTCACGGGAGGGCTCCTCACAGTTCTCTGAAGGAGTGGCAGAAGAATGTCCCAGAGCAGGAGGAAGAAAACCAGGTCCAGTGCAGAATCAGTTTGTCTTTCTGTTACTGGGATAAACCCTGTGACCAAAAGCAAATAAGAAATGAAAGGGTTGAACTGGCTTACAGCTTATAGTCAGCCCATCAAGAAGGGAAGTCAGGGGAGGAACTGATGGCAGGAACTTGGAGACAGGAACTGAAGTAGAGACCATGGAGGAACACTTCTTACTGGCTTGTTCCACTACCATTTTTATACATCCTAGGCTTACCTGGAACTAGCTCTTGTAGACCAGGCTGGTCTCGAACTCACAGAGATCCGCCTGCCTCTGCCTCCCAAGTGCTGGGATTAAAGGTGTGCGCCACCACCGCCCGGCCCCCCACATCAATTATTAATCAAGGAAATGAAGGAAATGGTCTAGAGATTTAAAAAAAAAAAACACAGGCAATCTGATAGAGTCAATTCAGTTGAGAATCCCTAAGCTTTATGTCAAGTTGACAACAGCTATGATAAGCGCAGAACTGAGATGTCAGAGCGGAAACACAGTCCGCTGTGACTGTGAATGGGGGTTTGTTGGTGGCCAGTTATTGCTTGATGACCAAGGTGGATGTGAGCGTGAGAGAAACAGGCTATGTGAGAAAAGGCGAAGGAAGATGTGCCAGTGATTGTGGTTGGTCAGCACGCTGTGAAGTTGTCTTTAGTGGCATTTGCCTTTTGGAAATTGACTTCAGAGTATCTGGACCTGAACATCTGGAATTTCACAGTATGATAAGGTAGACATAAAGGAGCTGTGGGGTGGCTATGTTGTGAAGCCTGGGAGCTAAGCGAGCTGAAGAGCATGATGATCAGAGAGGGCATGAAAAACGCTGGACCCGGGGCTTCATCTTAAAGAAATGAATCAAGAAAATGCTTTGCGATGGGCAGAAAGACTGCTGCAAATGGTTGTTTAAAATGAAGCAACTCTTAATGATAGTCCAACTGATGCCCTGGAAGTAAAGTGGGGCCTTTCAAGTAAGTGCGATTAAGCATCTTAACCATCATTTGGAGGCCTCTGCAGACATTTTAGGTTGGTACCCTGACGATGACTGCTGCTGGTATCCAGTGGATAAGGGCTAGGAACAGTAAGTTTTAAATATCCTACTAGTGTAGGAGCCTCACAACAAAGAATTCTCTATCCCCAGGTGTTCAATCACTTCACTTTAGAAATCTTATCCAGGTCTTGACTAGCTAAAATGAGGAGAGGAAGGAGTGGAGGCGAGATTGGGAGCCGAGATATTGGGAGTAAAAGATAGATGTTGCATCAACTGTGAAGCTGCTGAGAGTGAGGACGGGAAGCATGGTGAGAGGAGCAGTGGTGCGCACACCAGCGACGCGGACCGATGAAGCTTCCAGGAAAGGAGGGGCAGAGGGCACAGTCCCATGTCATGTTTACAGAGAAGCTAAGGACTTTGAAGAAAATAAATGACACATAAGTGCCAGTAGGGGGTGCCACATAGTACTGAGATCCTAGGATGTAAGAGAAAATAAATCTTGCTTTTGATAAACTACAAAGTCACTAGGATTTAGATCAAGGAGCACAGGTAGGGTGTGGAGGTGTGGCTCAGTGGCACCTCCGTTTTGTGAACAAGGTCCTGGCTCAGACCCCATCACCAGTACGGGGTGGAGGACTTGAAGCATAGTGGTTACACATATTGTTCAAGAGGATTTTATTTGATTCTTGAAAAGCAAAATGATATAGAATGTTGCCATTCCTGATCAGTTCAGTAGAGCCGGAGGTATACTTTACAGCAGAATACTAATGCTGTTCCCTGCTCTTCTTCTATGAAAGTACAAGCTCTCAGTATGTATCTAGTTGAGCTGGCACTAGGATCCGCTTACAGCAGCCTCCCGAGTGCAGAGATGATAGGCATGTGCCCCTGTGTCCAACCACTTTAATTTTATTCTTTAAATAATTTTAATTTTTATATTATCACACCAAGTACCCAGTATTCAGGAGGCTGAGTAGGAGGACTTTACGTTTCAGGCTAGTCTGGGCTATATAGTGAGGTCCTATCTGAAATTACATATAAGATGTGTATATGTGGTACTGGTTACCATTTAAAACACATTGCCTAATCAACTATTGTCACTACCTCTCAAACCTTTTAATCACCCCAAACAGACACCTGATATCTATTAAATAATAATTCCTCACTGCTTTTTCTGCAAAGTTGGTATATGGACATCCTTTTCACATGTGGAATCACATAATGCCTTCTGTTTTGATTTATTGAACTTAGCATATTTTAGGATATATCCATCTTATATTAGTACATCATTTTTTAATGCTAAATAATTTTATTGCATATTATTATATATTTATCTTATTGAAATTGCATTCACCTACTGATTGGCATGTGTTATTTTCATCTTGTGGCCATGTGAATAATGGTAAGATGAATTTTGATCTATAAGCACCCGTTTCAGTCTCTGTTTTCAATGTTTCTTGAGTTATTACACTTTTTAAAATGCAGATCAAGTGAAATGGCCCAAGTTAGGAAGCCAAATGTTCGGACCATCCTGACGTCAAAGCACAAGTGACCAAACATCTGCCCAAGAAGGCAGGACTCGTGTGTGCCAGGTGCTTTATTGATTGTTACTCAATACATGTGGCGTTTTCCTGGTCATTTTTGCCTTTATTTTCTTCCTTGAAGGATCCTAGGTCTACAAGTGTTTCCATGAAAATTCTGCCAGAAATTAATCGAATCAACCAGTCACTGATACAGAAGTGGATAGCAGCAAGAAAAAATAAAGAGCGTGAAGAAGCCGAAAGGTGACCCAGCTTGATGACCCATAGCCACTCCCATGTTTCTCAAATGTTGATCATGTTGTCCTAGCTGTAAGAAAGAAGGTTTGGCTTTGTCATGGTAGGATTTTTATTTTGGGTGTGATTCTCTTTTTCTACTTCTTGGTTGTATCAGCCATTGATGTGCATAGCAATTAGTCTTTTTTTTTAAATATAATTTTTTATTGAAAAAAAAATTTCCGCCTCCTCCCTGCCTCCCATTTCCCTCCCCGTCCCCCTTTTCCCCCCTCCTCCCTCTCCTCTCCCCCTCCCCCCACTCCTCTCCCCCTCCCTCTCCAGTCTGAAGGGCAGTCAGGGTTCCCTGCCCTGTGGAAGTCCAAAGTCCTCCCCGCTCCATCCTGGTCTAGGAAGGTGGGCATCCAAACTGGCTAGGCTCCCACAAAGCCAGAACATGAAGTAGGATCAAAACCCAGTGGCATTGTCCTTGGCTTCTCAGCAGCCCTCATTGTCCGCCATATTCAGAGAGTCCGGTTTTATCCCATGCTTTTTCAGTCGCAGTCCAGCTGGCCTTGGTGAGCTCACAATAGATCAGCCCCACTGTCTCCGTGGGTGGGTGCACCCCTCGTGGTCCTGACTTCTTTGCTCATATTTTCCCTCCTTCTGCTCCTCCTTGGGACATTGGGAGCTCAGTCCGGTGCTCCAGTGTGCGTCTCTGTCTCATCTCCATCCATCTCCAGATGAAGGTTCTATGGTGATATGCAAGATATTCATCAGTATGGCTATAGGATAGGGTCATTTCAGGTTCTCTGTCCTCAGCTGCCCCAGGAACTAACTGGTCATGATCCACAGGTTGAGAACCAGGTATATGAAAATATTACCTCACAATTTCAGAAGATTGGACACTCCGTCTAGTTGTGACTTTGCCTTTTTTATTATATTTACAGAGAAATCAGCACTATATTTTCATCTTCTGCTTGTTTGACTGCAAGCTTTTTGAAGAAAAGGTAAAACTTCAATGGGAATCACCTTAATTTAAAATACTGGGGGTATTTAAAATGAAAATTTTAGTGCCAGGTTGAGTGTGAATTTTGTCAGCACACAGAGTCCAACATAGAGAATTCTCTGGTTGACGAAGGGTTCTTTCATTTTATAAACTAACTCCCCCATGGTTTTCCTCTGTTGTCTTGTTGGAGGGAATGGTGTTTTATTCAGGCTATTATAACTACAGATAATCAGCTAAGCTTGATATTTCTTTACTGTTTACAAACTAGAAGTTCATTTTACAGTTCCTGCTGAGTCGGATAAATAAAGAAATGAGACTTGTTCGTTTTGTTTTTCACATATCGCAAAAATTTAATTTCTCTCTCATTTGGTTTAATAGTAGGTCTGATTCTGAGAGTTGGTTAGTTAGTCAGTTTGTTTTGGAATTTTAGGACAGACTTAGTAGTCCATGGAGTACTCATGTAGTCCAGCTAATCTTGATCTTGTGTGCAGGTGAGGAGAATCCTGAATATCTGATCCCCCTGCCCCCATCTCCCAAGTGCTGACATTACCTAAGAGCATGAATAATTATTTAAGGGTAGTTGCAATGAATAGCCGCCATCCTGTACTCACTCTGCCATCTCTTTCCCATTTGTCCCTTCTAGTTTGGAAGGGAAAGACTCTCTGGCACATGATGTCCCCTTTCTTTATGCTAGCCTCAGACTCTCTTATTGCATGAAGGTGAATCCTCCATGCAAATAGTGCAGGAGTTAAGATCATACAAACTCAAAATATGCCAAACTCGTATATTGATTATTTCCAGCTGAAATTACCTAAGGCATGATGTAACAGATTTTTCTTTAGGTTGCCAGCTCACAGAAGACAGCGTGGAGGTTTATTAATTATGAAAGTTTGACCTAGAGCTTTGTCTTGTCCCATTAGCTCTTAGAACTTAAATTAACCCATTATATTAATCTATGTTTTACCCCATGGCTTTTTACCCCTCTTCCATCTTGCACCTCCTGTTTCCCCTCTGTGTCCTCTGGCATCTCTCTCATGCACCTAGATTCTTCCTCCTACTTTCTCTCTCTGCCGTAAGTCCCTCCTATACTTCCTACCTAGCTATTGGCTGGCCAGCTTTTTGTTATAGCCATCACAGAAATATACCTGTGTACAAATACCCCACTACAGCATGAAAACTACTGAACAGATTATCTGACCTATTTCTTTCTACATGCAGCAAGCAATCAAAATTTAAGGGCCAAGGGAAAGGTGTCACCCTATATCAAAGTAAGAAAGTCGAATGGTAAGGGGAGTTGTAAGGAACACATGTGGATACTCACTGGAGTAACCCTCATGGCTATACGTGTGTGCGTGCACACTCGCATGCACACACATGCACACACACTCACATATGCACACTCCTCCTACTCATTTCCTTAAGAGTTACTGCCTGAGTCTACCCACCCATTTGTCTTATCATTCTTTCAAAAACATATCTTTTGGTTTAAAAGTATAGAGCACCGTGCTTTTGTCATCTCTTCAGACTTATCTTGTCCCTATGTACATGTAATTTTAATAAAGCTTATATGTGTTTCTTTTGATACTCTTCCTCGTACTAATTGATGTTTTAGACCTACCCAAAGAGTTCTCAGGGCCAAGAGCAAGGCAGAAGTGTCCTCTTCCTCTTCTACAATACCATTTTTTTTAAAAGAAGAAACATATCCATGACCACTTTCTGGAAATTTTAAACTTCTAGGCAAAGATTGCAAAGGAGAAAGAATTTGGGAGAGAAATTTACAGCTAGAGCTTGTATAAGTATTCTAATTCTAATATCAATAGTGATATTTAATTCAGCAAACACACACTATTTTATTATTTTTTAAGCTGCTAGACTTGCTCGATACTGGTCATGAAATGTAACCAAATCAAGCTGCTAACTAGACAGGATTTGGGCATTATTCCAGTGCAGAAAGGGGTGGGGTTGAGAAGACTTGAGTAAGAATCCTGTGCTGGTGGAAACAGCAAGGGCAGGGCTTTGAGGTAGGAGATTCAGAGACTCCCAATGCACAAGCTGTGTGTTAATGTTTTCCATTAATGAGTTAATGCGTCTTTCAAAAAGTTTCTAAAATGAACTATCAAACCTCTGTGCTGACAAAACACAATAAAACCACTATTATTGCATCACTCCACCTCTTAATGTAACCATGGAAATATACAGCTTAAGTCGAAATGGCGGCTAGAAGTAACAGTGCACACCCGTAATCCTAGCATTTAGAAGCTGAGGTGAGAAGATCACAAGTTTAAGACCAGCCTGGTCAGAGTGAGACTTTGTTTCAAAAAGTAATAGATAAGCCGGGCGATGGTGGCGCATGCCTTTAATCCCAGCACTCAGGAGGCAGAGGCAGGCGGATCTCTGTGAGTTCTAGACCAGCCTGGTCTACCGAGCTAGCTCCAGGACAGGCTCCAAAGCCACAGAGAAACCCTGTCTCGAAAAACCAAAAAAAAAAAAAAAAGTAATAGATAAATATGCAAATAAGTAAGGAAACAAACAAATAGATATAACCATACGTGGAGAGGAGGCAATTCAGTCTGGGTTGATGGCTTCTTGGATTTAGTATACAACATCTTGCTAGGGATCAAGTTGTAACTTTGTGTATATGTTATATTATGTGTAAGGCCTTATGTCTGAGATTGAGCCCTGGGCTCAATCCTAGTACCATAAAGTAGAATATAGTAAAATGACATAAAACAAAATCCTGCTAAAATTGCAGCCCATACTTGATGCTACTGACAGAGATAACAAGCTGTTGTTTTCTCCTTTTTTAACAAGAGCACATTGAACAATTTCCATGTCACTCTAGTCTGTCATTTTGAAAAGAGGAAAGCTTTAAATAAATATTTTGTGCATGGTAAGATAAAAACAAAATAATATGCTGTTCTTTTTTTCATCTGTTTATGTGTTTTTAACATTTGTTGTAATTATAGAGATCCTGGAGAGAAGAATTTAATTGATGTGGACTTAAAAATGGCAAGGGATGTCTTCAAAAAGTTAGCAGAAGTGCCATGGATTTCTTACTTGGTAACAGCCACTATTTATTTGACTTACTTAAGATACAGCATAATCACACTTTTTTTATAGGAATAATATAATAGCAGCTTAGTTTGGTGGGAGGTAGGTGGCCAGGACCTGTGAATGAGACTAAACAGGGGGCTAGTCTCCTTTATGAAAGTACTATAATCCAGACATGGTAATAGGTGGTGGCATTTATTTCTTTTTAAACCACGAAATGCATAACAGATATAGTCTTTTTGTTTTCAGTATGAGGAAAGCAATAGTGAGACACAAAGCATCTATCTACCAATGCACATGAAAATAACTGTGGTTTAGGAAGCAGGAGATCATCTGGAGAGTGGTTTTAAAAGACCAATGTCTGTTTTGAGATGAATCTTGGGCGTATTTCTGGTGAACCTCTGTGTAGTAGGAGAAGGGGCCCACTTTTGGTCCCAGCCACCCCTCTAGCTTAGCCCCAAAATAATCACACAGAAGCTGTATTCATTTAAATACTGCCTGGCCCATTATATCTAGCCTCTTTTTGGCCAACTCTCACATCCTGATCTAACCCATTTCCACCAATCTGTGTATCACCATGAGGTTGTGGCTTACTGGGAAAGATTCTAACCAGTGTCAGTCTCAGGCAGGAGCTTCATGGCGTCTGCCACACTGCCCTTCTTCCCAGCATTCAGTTCTGTCTTTCCCACCCATCTAAGTTCTGCCCTATCAAAAGGCCAAGGCAGTTTCTTTATTCAACCAATGAAAGCAACACAAATACAGAAAGACCTCCTACACTACCTCTGCTACCGATTCATCCCATCCTTTCTTTGGGTAATGTTTCCTTTACCTATGATTTTAAGTTTGTTTTTAAGTCTGTGGTCTGGACTGTGTAGAAAGGAAGCTACAAGTTTAGGTTGTGATTACAGGAAGCTGCAAATTAACAATAGACAGCTATCAGGATGTCTTGGCACTTTGGGATTGCACAACATAGTATAGTGTGGGTGTCTTACAAACAAAGGAAACTGACTTCTTAGAGCTTTGGAGCTGGGATATTTGGAAGCTCTAAGATTCAGATGCCACCATAACCAGTATCTAATAAGGGGGAAATTGATAGAAGACTATGTCCTTATTGTATTTTCATGTAGTTGAAAGAAAGGGATAGGGGTTTTACTTATAGGGCCACTAATCCCATTGATGAGGACTCTATTTTTATGAACTAATCATCAACAAAAAATTTTGTCTTAATTCTTTACTGTACTGAAGGGTAGGATTTCAACATATGAACTTTTGGGAGACACAGACAATCTGTTGCTCAGGAGAAAGGAAGACAGGCTGTATTCATTTGCATTGAAAGCTAGGGACAGGGCTTATGTACTAACTTATTAGGGTAAAGAAAACGAGAGAGAGGACATCTATGGGCAGAAAAGATGGGTTTCTACAGAGACAGATAGAAAAAAAATGTTCACCTGTGATGTTCCTTATACAGTTCCTCATCCAGGTGTATATGGTCTGAATGCTTTATTTCTTTCTTAGTAATAAAGCTTACCTCAAAGGGATTTATCACAGCTTTGCTCCTAAGAGTCCCTGCTTGAATCAGATGTAGGAGGAGCTCCAAAATTACTGGTTTTTGCCATAGCTATATCTCAGTTGACCTCAGTTTAAAGTAATCTTTAGTGCTAGTGTAATCTTCAGTAATACTGCACCTACTTATATGAGTCATAATTTAATTCTCATTATCATACACACATATATACATATGGCTAATCCCCATGCCATTTAAAGGGATCCAAGTACATTCTACATTTGGAAGAGAATGGGGGAACTTTTGGTTGTTATGTAATAAATACTATATTCTCATTTTCAAAATAAAGAATAGTAGATATCCAGTACATTTGGGCCAAGAATTTATTTAGTTGGTAGGGAGATAACTCCAGGTGCTCTTCTCCGTGTATTTCTGAGAAGTGTTTGCATCATGGGAAGTTCATGGAAGGGGGTTCTTAATGAAATCCCTTGGGAAATAATGCTGCACATTTTTGTGAATTATCATGCACATTAGTAAATCCAAGACTCCATGATGTCATATACAGAAAGGAGTCTAACTTTACTATTTATTTTTCTTGGAGTTATTGACATTGTGATGAGTTTTTCTATTTAACACCTACTAGCAATCCACAGAAATTATTATTTATTTGCTCCCTAGAACCCTTTAAAAACAGGAGATGGTGAAAGACATCTGTAATTATAGCAGTCTGGAAGTAGAGTCAAGAAATTCAAAGAATTTAAGCTCATTGTCAGCCCTATGACAAGTTCGAGGCTAGTCTGCAGTACATGAGATTCTGTCTTCAAATAAGATAAAATAAACTCAGTTATTTAAAATTAAAGAATTCTGTTAGACCTGAAAAGAACAAACTGTAAGAGGGTTAAATGTAATAAAATAATATGGAGAATTTCACACTCCAATGCTGCATATATCATCTTATTTAGCTCTGTGTCATGTACAGACATACACTTTAGTTAACAAAGCAAAGATCCACTAGGTGGAGAATTTTAATACTAGCTGCTCTGACAGAAAACTTCTGAACCCCAAGGACCTAATCCAATGAATATTTAATCCTCTTTCTAAAGTCCAATGAGGGATGGAGGAGAACTTTCTCATAGATTTTTTTTTCACTCTGGCTTCATTCCAATGTCTTAAGACCCTAAGACTATACAATCCTTCATTGGCTCTCCTGAGTTTGGTCACATGAGAGGCCATAGAGGCCATAACTGGCATGTCACCTTCACATTCAGAAGCTAGGACTCAGTCACAAGGCTCCACTCAGCTCCAGAGGACACTGAGAAATGCCATCTGATGGGACACTAGAAAGAAAATGAAAGAAGATAGGACAATGTTTCTTTTCAAGGCTGATTTGGTGCCAGGTAGATGAATATTTGAGCTATCTTAAATTGAGTAGCTTTCTCTCTCTATTGTCTTTAATTGAGACTCCTCTTCTTCATCTGTAGAGGGAAAAAGGTTAGAAACAAAGCAAAAAAAAACTACTTCACACAATTATTAATGTAATTCACATGTGATCCCTTGGCATGTGATCCATACTCAATAAATGTTCACACAAATATAAAGACCACCATATAGACAGTCATAGTGGTCCATGCCTGTAATCCTAGCACTTGAGAGGCTGAGGCAAAGATGCTCAAGGGCTCAAGAGTTCGAGGTCACCCTGAAGTACACAGAAAGACTCCTTACTTTTCCAAATAAAATTTGTTTTCCAAAATAAAATACAAACCACCACCACCAAACCTCCAGTTATTCCTACTGTTACCTTTTATGTATGCTGTATCTTAAAAGTCTACCCATGAGTAAAATAAGTGTCAATTTAGAGCTATGTAGACTGTGAAAAAAAAAGAAATAAAAAGTGGGTTTTGTATGTGTCTGTGTGTGAGAGAGGGTAACAACATTTTCTTCCCATTTCTTCTTTTCTCTTTCTGAGACAAGGTTGCCGTATCACAAATGGGCCTCCATCTCTTTGGGTGGCCTTGAACATTTCATCCTTTTTCCTATCTCTGAGTGTTGCACAACCACATCTGGTCTATATGAGTCAACACCAGGGTTTCAGACACAGTAGGCAAGCCCTCACTCAACTTGGTTTTAATTTGTGAGCTCACATGATCCCCCACCTCAGCCTTCTGAGTAATGGACTCCACCTGTGTGCCACAGCGATTAGCTTACAGAATTGTTTCTGGGAGCCTTTGCGTTAGTTTCAAACCAACTATTTACTGTGTACATCCATTTCCATGTGATATCACTTTATTTCCTTCAAGTACTCTAAAATGAAGTGGGCAGCAGGCTCAAATGAGCTCTACCTCAAAGGTCCATGGAATGTGTAAGAGTTGATGGTGTTTTATCGATAAGTTTCAGAAGGACTTAAATGAACTTCCTAACTGGAAGACAGTTGAGTAAAACCTGCAGTCATAACTTGTATTCGTTCACAATAATGTGTCTTGTATAAACCCAGCTTTGTTCCTTGCCCCCTTTTGTTCACAGATAATCACATGTCTTCAGAATAAGATTATCAAAGATCTTCCATACAATTCTCCACATCAAGATGCTTTATTGGTTTTTCTTTTGGTCCCGGAATGTCCCATGATGCAGGACCCTTGGAACATTTGGGAGACCCCGACAGTTGAATTTGCAAAGGCTATTTGTGAAATGAATACAGAATCACTTGAATTCTTGAGTAAGTTTTATATCATTCTACAAATATATTCAGTAGAATCACATTTGAAGTAGAAATTGTAGCAAACATTGGATACAGTTCATAATACCTATTCGAGTACATGGTATGTGAAGTTTTGTGAAGATTAACCACAAACCACCACTCTCACCACAGAGCAAGTGTTGTTCTTCGATGTAGCAAGGACTTTAGCATTAGAGTTCATTAACCATACAGTGTCTAATCATGATAAATCAGACTTTACAATTTTTGCTCACTTTTTGAAAACTTCAAACATTTAATGTAGAGTGATAAGAAGCAAGGTTAAACTTATCACTTATTTTATTCAAAATCATGGTATTTTCATAATTTTAAGTGAATGTTGAAGGTCTGATGCTTAAAAAATACAAAAGTTTATATACGTAAACTATAGACGATCCCGGAAGCATCTTAGAAAGAGGTTACAGACTCTAAATTCTGTGTGTGAACATCAAAACTCCCTGTTTTGGTCCTTGGGAAGATGACTAAATGCACACATTCCAGTCCTCAGCCCCCACAGGAAAAGCTGGCATGGTTGCAGGTACCTGTAACCCCAGAGCTGTGAGGAACAGAGAAAGGAGAAGAGCTGAGGCTTGTGGGCTACTAGACTAGCTCCAGATTCAGCGGAAGAACCTCCCTCAAATAAGGCATAGAATGATTACTCAAGACACTGGACATCCTGCTCTGTCCTCTGTGCAGGTGTATGTGCACATGTGTGTGCACACGCACTTTTATAACAACCCTCTCTCAAGAGAGAGACCAGGTGTTGCTTAAGGGCTATGTTAAACCAGCTTTTAAAGTTCCCATCACTCTCACATTGCCAGTGCTATCCGGTGCTTCCATTCTTCTGCTGCTATAGTAGTGAGGATGTGTATTTCTTGGATGGACATAAACTTAGACATGCAAGAAAAAGGCAAATGCAAAGCACAGTTACAGAATTAAAATTAATTGAATGAGCAGTGCATTTTTAATTAAATATATAAATAAATATAAATTATATATATATGTAATACATATAAATAAAATTTGTGTACGTACACTTTAAGTGAATTTATGTGCATCATACATGTACCAGAGCTGGTGGAGGCATGAAGAGCATATCGGATGCCCTGGAACTGGAGTTACAAACAGTTGTGAATCATCGTGTGGGTGCTGGGAACTGAACCTGGGCTCGGTTGCCGCTTAACCATGGAGTCATCTCTCTAGCTCCAGCATTTGCATTTTTTTTTTCAAGAGATTTTTCTGGGATGTGGGAATGAACCTTTGTAATTCCAGCATTTGGGAGGTAGAGGAAGAGGACCAGGAAGGAGTTCAGGACAGCCTTGGCTAAACAGTGAAACCTGGGTTATATGAAAATTTTCTCTCAAAAAGTGCTTTTTCTTTCTAGATCTAGGAGTTACATTTCAAAAGGCCTGCCTCACTCTTAAATTAAAAAAAGTTTCCAGTTTCCCACTATAATTTTTGAATGTATGTATGTATGTATGGATGGAGCTGGGGACTAAATCTGGCACTTTGTGTATACTAGGCAGACAGCCTACTACTAAGCTGTATCCCCAATCCTTTGTACTACCATTTTATTTATTTTTAAAGATATTTTTATTGCTTTTATTGATCTGTGTATTTTTCTGCACTCCCTTCCCTAATAGTAATTATACATATTTGTGGAGTACAGTATGACATTTTTTATCTTCGATTTTTTTGATGTGCTTGAGTACTTTGTCTACATGTATCTCTGTGCTCCACATTCATGTCTGTGGCCAGCGAAGCTAGAAGACAATGAAGGATCCCCTAAAACTGGAGTAAGAGGTGGCTGTGAGATGCCACGTGGGTGCTGCGAATCAAGCTCAGTCATCCATAAGAGTAGCTAGCGCTCTTAAGTGCTGAGCCATCTTCAGCCCCAGTATGATATTTTTACAGTGTATACAAATCAGATCAAAGTAACTGACATATTTATTATCTCAAACATTTATTGTTTTCTTTATGTTGGGAACATTTGAATTTCTCTCTACTGGCTGTTTTTAAACAATTAATTATTACTATTAACTGCCTTACGATGTTGGGATGTTGGAAGTCCTTCTAACAGCCCACTTGTACCAGTCAGTTATCCTCCTTTCCATGGTCACTGTTCCTTCTACCTTTATGAGATCAAAGTTTTTAGTTTACACTCAGAAAAACATTCCAGGTTCCTAGCTTATTTAATAAGTTCTTGAGTTCATACATGTTTCTTTTTTTTCTTTTTTTTTTAGAGGCACTCATAAACATTTTTTATTTATTTATTAAAGATCTCTGCCTCCTTCCCGCCACCGCCTCCCATTTCCCTCCCCTCCCCCGATCAAGTCCCCTTCCCTAGTCAGCCCAAAGAGCAATCAGGGTTCCCTGCCCTGTAGGAAGTCCAAGGACCACCTACCTCCATCCAGGTCTAGTAAGGTGAGCATCCAAACTGCCTAGGCTCCCACAAAGCCAATACGTGCAGTAGGATCAAAAACCCATTGCCATTGTTCTTGAGGTCTCAGTAGTCCTCACTGTTCGCTATGTTCAGCTAGTCCAGTTTTATCCCATGATTTTTCAGAACCAGGCAAGCTGGCCTTGGTGAGTTCCCGATAGAACATCCCCATTGTCTCAGTGTGTGGGTGCACCCCTTGCGGTCCTGAGTTCCTTGCTCGTGCTCTCTCTCCTTTTGCTCCTGATTTGGACCTTGAGATTTCAGTCCGGTGCTCCAATGTGGGTCTCTGTCTCTGTCTCCTTTCATCGCCTGATGAAGGTTAATATTCAGGAGGATGCCTATATGTTTTTCTTTGGGTTCTCCTTCTTATTTAGCTTCTCTAAGAACCCGAATTATAGGCTCAATGTCCTTTATTTATGGCTAGAAACCAAATATGAGTGAGTACATCCCATGTTCCTCTTTTTGGGTCTGGCTTACCTCACTCAGGATAGTGTTTTCTATTTCCATCCATTTGCCTGCAAACTTCAAGAAGTCCTTGTTTTTTACTGCTGAGTAGTACTCTAATATGTATATATTCCATACTTTCTTCATCCATTCTTCAATTGAAGGGCATCTAGGTTGTTTCCAGGTTCTGGCTATTACAAACAATGCTGCTATGAACATAGTAGAGCATATACTTTTGTTGTATGATAAGGCCTCTCTTGGGTATATTCCCAAGAGTGGTATTGCTGGGTCCATGGGTAGGTTGATCCCGAATTTCCTGAGAAACCTCCACACTGCTTTCCAGAGTGGTTGCACAAGTTTGCATTCCCACCAGCAATGGATGAGTGTACCCCTTTCTCCACAACCTCTCCAGCAAAGGCTATCATTGGTGTTTTTGATTTTAGCCATTCTGACAGGTGTAAGATGGTATCTTAAAGTTGTCTTGATTTGCATTTCCCTGATCGCTAAGGAAGTTGAGCATGACCTTAGGTGTCTTTTGGCCATTTGAACTTCTTCTGTTGAGAGATCTCTGTTCAGCTCAGTGCCCCATTTTATAATTGGGTTGATTAGCCTTTTACGGTCTAGTTTCTTGAGTTCTTTATATATTTTGGAGATCAGACCTTTGTCAGTTGCGGGGTTGGTGAAGATCTTCTCCCAGTCAGTGGGTTGCCTTTCTGTCTTAGCGACAGTGTCCTTTGCTTTACAGAAGCTTCTCAGTCTCAGGAGGTCCCATTTATTCAATGAGGCCCTTACTGTCTGTGCTGCTGGGGTTATACGTAGGAAGTGGTCTCCTGTGCCCACGTGTTGTAGAGTACTTCCCACTTTCTCTTCAATCAGGTTCAGTGTGTTTGGACTGATATTGAGGTCTTTCACCCACTTGGACTTGAGTTTTGTGCATGGTGATAGATATGGGTCTATTTTCATTCTTCTACAGATTGACATCCAGTTTTGCCAGCACAATTTGTTGAAGATGCTCTCTTTTTTCCATTGTATACTTTTAGCTCCTTTATCGAAAATCAGGTGTTCATATGTTTGTGGGTTAAAGTCAGGGTCTTCTATTCGATTCCATTGGTCGACTTCTCTGTTTTTATGCCAATACCAAGCTGTTTTCAATACTGTAGCTCTGTAATAGAGTTTGAAGTCAGGGATGGTAATGCCTCCAGACGTTCCTTTATTGTATAAGATTGTTTTGGCTATCCTGGGTTTTTTGTTTTTCCATATAAAGTTGATTATTGTCTTCTCCAGATCTGTGAAGAATTTTGATGGGATTTTGATGGGGATTGCATTGAATCTATAGATTGCTTTTGGTAGAATTGCCATTTTTACTATGTTGATCCTCCCAATCCAAGAGCAAGGGAGATCCTTCCATTTTCTGGTGTCCTCTTCTATTTCTTTCTTCAAAGACTTGAAGTTCTTGTCAAATAGATCTTTCACTTCCTTGGTCAGGGTTACCCCAAGATATTTTATGCTCTTTGTGGCTATCGTGAAAGGTGATGCTTCTGTGATTTCCCTCTCTGTTTCCTTATCCTTAGTGTATAGGAAGGCAACTGATTTTTTGGAGTTGATCTTGTATCCAGCCACGCTACTAAAGGTGTTTATCAGCTGTAGGAGTTCTTTGGTAGAATTTTTGGGGTCGCTTATGTATACTATCATGTCATCTGCAAATAACGAAAGCTTAACTTCTTCCTTTCCAATACGAATCCCCTTGATCCCCTTATGTTGTCTTATTGCTATTGCTAGAACTTCAAGCACTATATTGAAGAGGTATGGAGAGAGTGGACATCCTTGTCTTGTTCCTGATTTTAGTGGGATGGCTTTGAGTTTTTCTCCATTTAATTTAATGTTAGCTGTCGGTTTGCTGTAGATAGCTTTTATTATATTTAGGTATGACCCTTGTATCCCTATTCTCTCCAAGACCTTTATCATAAAGGGGTGTTGAATTTTGTCGAATGCTTTTTCCGCATCTAATGAAATGATCATATGGTTTTTTTCTTTCAGTCTATTTATATGGTGGATTACATTGATAGATTTGCGTATGTTGAACCAGCCCTGCATCTCT